GCAAGTAGCAGTAGTACTACCAAAAATAGTATACCAAATAAAAGAACTGATGAAGATGCTAGTAGTTCTCGTGAAGGGAATGAAAATCATTGATTCAGATATTCACCCAATTAGCAACGTAGTTATAAAAACAATACATAGAATTATTTTTATATTTTTACATTAGTACCATATTGCATTTAGTCAGTTCGATAGTTACTATTTTTATATGTATTATTGCTTTTAGCATAGCGACATAATAATAAAGGTTCTCACAAAGCAAAGTTCCAGTGAATACCATATAAGAGAGTATATAAGGGAGTAGAAGTTATACAACTGCACCAGATAACCTAGAAAATGTTAAAACCTAGGGAAGACAAATCAGCTACAGCAATAGGAGCCTGGTTTGAGATACGAGGTCAATATACCTGGGGAAGTAAGTGGAAGGGCTGATGACTGTCTCTAGTATTGCACTACCTCTAGGTGACACCCAGATCCAATACGTGATACCAATACTTCTCACGTGGGACTGGTGGTAGCAGCAGGACCCTGGCTTGAGATACGTATACAAGAGGCTACCTATAGAAAAATATATACTAGTATAAAGTATCTAATAATAGGCACACCAAATTGGGAGACCGTAAAGGACCGATTTTCCGAATAGACCAATTTGGAAGTAACCAAGGTTTGATAGTAAGACATGGAGTGAATATAGTGGATAACTAGAAATAGTCTGAACACCAAATCCAGATATAACCCAATATGTGGTGGGAATGTAGTATACTCTGGTAGGTTTAGGTCATAGATAAAAGTTGTCTAAGCTTGTATTCTTAAGATAGATATGTAACCATATAAGACAATACTTAATAATATCTAATAAAGATATGGGGCAAGACCTCACCTTAACACCGAAAAAAAAAAAAATAATATGAGTATTAATATTATAATAAATACATTTAGTTGTTGATTGTTTTAATGTGATGTTTAATAATGACTTGTAGTTAATTGAGTATAAAATAATAAAAAAAGTACTACTTTAGTTAATAGCCATATCAGAAAATCCGTAAGCATTTAAGATAAACTGATAAATATCTGATAGTTTACTAGTTAGTCTTATATATAGAGCATTTGATAGAGATATTGGATAATCTATAGGCATATTGATTTAATCGATAGTTGCCTTAACTTTGTCTTATATTTGTTTTAAATCTTTCTGATAGGTGCCCTATATCTGCCAAATATCTGATAGATATAAGCCAAATTGACCAAATATTGGTAATAAATATCGATTCAATTTCATTGTCCTTTCGGGTATCTATTGGTTTATATCGGCATGCCAATAGTTGCCTAGTATGTCTTCATTCGACCTGTGTTGATAATGACAACTAGACTAATTCCTGAAAGGAATTGTAATTTATAACTAATACTAGCTGCAACCAGTTAGCTTCAAAGTCGAGTAAACAATCTATAACATCTCAAAATCATTATAATTCTTCCTTGCCAAATTATCATGACAAGTCACACAGTATAAGCAAAATCTAAAAAAAATGGTTAAACACATTAGTAGATAATTGCAAACAAGAAGATAGTTTTTTTTATCATCACAAAGAAAACCTTAATTGAAGCAGATTATCTTTTTATCCAGTTAAAACAAGCCCAGGTATTTGCTACTATCAATAGTGAATAACCCAAGCCCTTCTTTGAATTTATATTTTTAGAAGCCCTGATAGTTTATTTGCCTAAACCAAATTCTTTATAGATTTTTCTAGTTCTAATTGCTCAGATAGTTTAACTTTAGCGAGTTCATTATCTACAATGGAAATCAATTCTTGGAATAGTCAACATATCCATTATCAGGTTTGTACTTCTGAGTCTAAAAATAGATATCTGTTCTCTGATGATACTAAAAGAATCCAGGTCTGTAAATCACAATAGAAAGGATCCTTATGTCTCTCTACAAGAAATAGTAGTATCAGATACAGAGGAGGAGGATGATAGAGTTAAAGTAAGAAATCCTATATGGCAGAACTCCTAATACTATAATACACTTAGATTCGACAGGACCCCGAAGATCTCTGATATAACTTAGATCTGAGTTTGTATAATATCAGCCAAATAGGTGTATAAAATAGGCCAAAATTTAAAAATTTACTATATAAAAATGCAATGTTTGATAAAATTCTATGCAAAATTTCCTTTTTTAGTAATCTCTGAGTTATATCAGAGATCTTTGGGGTCCTGATTTAACCTACCTCTATTATGAAATGCTTTTTCTCTCCTAATTATAGCTTATCCCTCCGATGTTAGCAACATTGTCCATGATCATGATCAACCCTACCTATCTCTGCTATGACAAAATTATATCAATTTGAGAAATATTTACTCAAAACTAATTTTAAACAGCCCACAAGTACAACAATTGTTGTATCATTTTAACTAGCAGATGAATACTTTAGAAAGGAATAATAACCATAATAATGACTAAAAGAAAACTCAGTTAGTCAAAATATCTACTTTTAGAAGCAGAGAACAAGATCTGTTACATTAAATGAAGGAGTACGAGAATGTTTGTATAGCTAATAATGTAAGTGAGGGAAGAATATTAGATATACTACCTGCTTATCTAAAGGAGTCTGCTAATAGTTGGTAGAAGACAGTATCAACACAGATCAGGAGGTGAGAAAATGATAAAGGCCCACACGATCGTTTATGCATCTATTTCAATACTATTTCTGTATTCTGTATCAGAATTCAAGATAAATATCTAAGTTAAGAAATTGTGAACAACAACCAGGAGAGACAGTTGAAGAGTATTATGTAAAGTTGAAGCATCTGTATCAGAAAATTTACCCAGATGATTTATATCCTTCTACTAATAAGTTACTACAATTTATTGATAGATTAAGACCCAAGATTAGAGAATATATAGAAATTGTCTGTCTTACTACTATAAGTCAGGTCCTTATTAAGGCCAAAGCAACCAAATCTATATTTTTTAGAGAAATGCTTTTGAGTTCATATTTTCTGAATCATAGGTATCTAAATCAAGAAGAGAACAATAATCTGAAATTAGCTAAATTAAGAAAAGAAATAGCTGATTTAGTCAATGCTCTAAAAACCACTTACTTTTACTTCTCTAAAATGATAATACCCAACTTCATAACTGCTATACCAGGACCCCAAAGATCTCTAATATAACTTAGATCTGAGTTTGTATAATATCAGGCATATAAAATAGGCCAAAATTTAAAAATTTACTATATAAAAATATAATGTTTGATGAAATTCTACACAAAATTTTCTTTTTTAGTAACCTCTGAGTTATATCAGAGATCTTTGGGGTCCTGCTATACCCCAAATATCTGTAAATACTAATCTCTCAGATGACCCTCTTTATCTGTAACTTTGTAATAGATGTGGTTACTCAGCAAGAGATTGTCTACTTGTAAGACTACTTAATAGCTCCACAGCTCAAATAAAACCTTATTTGTCTCTAGAGATAACCGTTTTAACAATCCTCATCCTTTATCTACTAATAACAATGCTCTACCCAGAAATCAACCAACCCTAATTAGATATTCTACAAATAGCCAGACCACCAATAGTTCTAATAATAAAGCTATCTACTCTAATAACAATGTACTAATATACTATATATTAATACAGAATGAATTGCAGAATCTCATCAGGATGATAGCTCAAACTTTAAATTCCTAAAAGCATACTATAAGGCTAGTTGTACCTTTTCTTCTTCATAGCCTCAAATACCTACAAATAAAAAAGAAAATCACAAAAATTAGCATCTAGTAAAAATGGGAAATAAGATAGTAAAGGATAAAGAAAAAAGACTCCAAGAGTCAAATAATAATCAATATATTAGTTATAGTTTTTTTTTTTTTTTTAATATTAAGGTGACCACTTTGGGGTCTAGCATGGTTTATTAATTTCTCAGTTCAATTATCAGGATGTCGAATAGGCACCTCTTGACTTTGTTACATCAATAAGAGTACAATTGGTCACATATACAACTTTAGTCATTATCTAATTAAGGGCTCTGCTATATCTATTTCTATCTATAGTTACCCACCAATTGCTATACCTAGAATCTGCTTGTAGATCCCCTATTTAAACCCTCTGATCGACTTAGCATCGTCAGATGCTTTTCTCAGAAGAATTCCTGCTACTAAAGCCCTTTAAGACTACTTTATCCTCGTGATAAATCTACTAGAGCAGTCCATATCTTACATATGTATTACCTGAGTTTTTCAAAAACATACGTCCCAATCTGAGGACTAAAACTTGCGATCTTCTATATCACTACTGTAATCTACTCCTCACCCTTTACAAGGTTCGTTCTGATCCTGATATCTACTTTCAACCGGCCCCTTATATTGATCCCTCTCTAATTACCAAATCAGTTAGCCCAGAAGGGTTGTTGTTAGGAATAGCAAATATTTTAAAACAATCTGTTTTAAAACATGTTTTAAATGTTTTAAAACATCCAAATTTTTTAATAAAAAATAATTAAAAACAATATTTAGTTATAAACCAATCATAGTATAAAATTTTAATTATGTGATATATAAGAAACTTTGTAGCAAAAATAGACATTAGATTAAAAAAATTTTTTAAAATTTTTATAGTATTAGTTAAATACTTCTATTTTAATATTATTAATCTTTTTAATATCTAAAAATTTTTAACAATATTATACAAATTAATAAATATACTAGTGGTATCTAATACTATAATTATTATATCTTAAACTAATTAAAGTTAGATATATTAAGTAAACATATTCAAAAACCTCAAAAACCTTAAAAATCTTATATTAACCAAATTTTAAATCTTTATATCTGACCTCTTCTTAGTCTATAACTCTACTCTAGCTCTAAATTTTATAATAAAAATATATGTAGTATTAAATATCACTAGTATATTTTGGTATTTTATATTATATACTTAAAAAATTTATATATTGTTGTATTTATAAAATATAAATTTTTTTATTATTTAATAAAAAATACAAAAAATATTTTAAAACATGTTTTAAAACATGTTTTAAAACACAAAAAAAATAAAAAACATGTTTTTTGCTATTCTTAGTTGTTGTACTTAGGCTCTAAGTGTCTTCTGGTTTTACTTCCCTTGGTTCTGAATTCTGTAGCATTAGACCTTTTCCTCTGGTGTGACTTCAGTGGCCAGGTTGGTGGACCCTTCTTGCCTCAGGTTGTTCATCTGGTTCTTCGGTCTCCGGTTCTGGTTTTCTATAATATCGTTGAAGATCTTCACTACTATATTAGTTATAGTTATAGTTATTTTCATAATGATCTTAATAATAATAATCGAGAAGTTTAATCAGAACCCTTATTAGCAGGAGTTTCCACCCAACTTTTGTCATCCTATAAAATGGAAGAAGAACTGTGGTTAGTATTTGTAGCAATGAATAGACTACAAGAAGAAGCAGTGGATGTTGTATATTGTAATATAGAAGTTGATAATATGCCTTTTTACTTAATTTTGAATACTGGGTCAATAT